AGATGGCAGTGATTTTCTCTCTCTCTCTCTCTCACACACACACACACACACACACACACACACACACACACACGTCCAGCCACCTGTTGATTCGTGGCTTCGAGCAGGTGCTATAGAACAGCTTTCTATTAAGAGTCAAACCAGACTTCCATCCTTTGTATTTTCTTCAGACTGTGAGATGGGGTGAGATGGCAGGGTTATCTGCTATAATCACTCACTAATCAATACAGTTTAGATCTGTCACCTAGTACCACCCCCCATGCAGGTGCTGAGTCATACCTGACTACGTGGGCAGAAAACTTTGCAGTCGCTCTCCCCAGCCACTTCAAAACTTTAAAAGAGTGGTTTGCTTTTAAGTATACTACACAGAATTGACTTCAAGCGAGAATTCACGAAATCTGAGTGTCCGTAATACATTCTATGACTGATAAGGGCAGAGCGTGGGCGTGTATATGTCCATATGATTTCAGCTGTTTCTCCACCGTTTCGTGAAACAAATCAAACAGCTCACCAAAACTAGTTGAAAGTTTTATTTATATAAAATTCATTAAGAACATAAAAGATTGAGTTTCTTTAAAAAAAAAATCTGCAGTTATTTACAGCAGTATTGCACAAGTAAAGTGGCAATTACCCTGTCAAAATTCATCAGTGCAAAACACAAGCCAGCCAGGGAAATTGCAATACATATGCTACAGTATGCTGGGTCCTAGGAAACAGTTAGTGATGGATCAGTATACAGACAGATCAGTGCTATTTATAAATGAGTACCTGATGAGTTCTGATACAGTAACTAGTGGTCACAGAACCTGGACATAAAACGTTAAGAGAGCTTCTAAAGTCTGAAATTCCCAAAGAAAAGTAGTCAAGTTACTTAGCTGGGAGCTTGAGGCTGCTTCTTGCACACAATGCTGTTTGGAGCAGGACAGGAGTTACCCCAGCTGGTTTAGCGACACGCGTGGTCACATTCCTGCACACAGGCATGTGCGGGGTGTGGACACACGCAGGCACCAGGCTAAATCAGCAGGGATGACAGAGCCATCGACACAGAACCGCTAGGAAGTCTCTTTCAAGCTTCTACTTCTTAACAGCCAGTCCAGTGGGGCCCCCAACCTCTCTCGAAGGCTTTGGAGAAGCAGAAGGAAAGCGTCACCCTGAAAAAGCAGGTGGATCAAATGCAGGGACCGAATGGTTCAGGGCAGGGGCTGTACAATTAGTTCCTGAAGACACACAGTTTAGTTCGCACCTCAAAGCACAGGAAGCCACAGAGCGGGTGGCGGGAACTCAACTACTCATCAGTTGCCAGTGAGGGGTTAGTGGTGTGAAGAGGTCCTGAAGTGTCTCTGGAAGCAGGGGCCACTGGTCCCACTGTGCCTCATCCTGCCTGGCCCCTGCCCTCAACAATCTCACGACGGCACCTCCAGAAGATAGACGTTTCCATTTCTCTGAACATGGTATTGTCAGGGATAAATTTTCAATGGAAAAAATCCTTCCCAACTGCCAATAACACATATTGGGTTGGCTCAAAAGAAGTTCGTTCGGGATTCTCCCATAAGATGTAGTGGAAAAACCCGAACGAACTTTTTCTAGCCGCCCCCCACCCCGCCCCACACACATACACACACACACACACACACACACATATATATTTTGGCTTTAAAATACGGCCTGGAGTTAACAGCATTTGCTTCCATGAGAAGCTAACCATTTGGGAACAAGAGAAAGTCACTGGAAAGTTCTAGAGTAGAATTTGACAGCCTGCTAGGTTTATGGGCTCTCACTGGTGTCTAAACACAAACTTCATCATGAGGACAGCAAACTCTACGAATCTAAACCCATTTGACTAGAAATACCAGGAACCAAAGCTGGAGGGCCACCCCGGGGAGACCGCGTGGCCTGCAGTGAGCTAACCAGTCGCCACCTCAGAGTTAAAGCAATTAACAGGACAGCAGGGGGTAGGGGGTCAGGGAGGTCAACACTTTTCAGAATTTAAGACATTAAATAAGCTGGAAATAAATATACAACATCTCTACAAGTTACAGCATTATGAAACAGTAGGACACATTACATAGAAAAAGAATCTACAATATTTACAATCCTCAATTCTGAAAAAGTTTAGTAAAAACAGTGATTTTTTTTTTTTTTTTTTTTACTCATTTATGCTGTACAAAATTTTACAAGAAAGGTAAAGGAAACATAATAATTGCACACAGACGTTTGGCTCAGTTGATAAGTAAAATATGACTTCCTAATCTAATAAATAGTCAAAATATATACAATATTAAGAAGGGGAAACAGGAGAAAGCTGTCGTCTACTGTGTACATTTTTTGTTTTTTGTTTTTTAACTCGGAAGAAATTTTCACCTGGTTTCTCCACAACCAAGAAAAAAAAAAAGTTCTTCATAAACAGGAGTCCAGGTAATTTGCAGATTCACTCGAAGTTAATTTCGTGTGTGTTTATTGCATTTCTGTGAAAAGCACAGGACACTTTCTACAAACCTCACGTGAGTCGAGGTGGTCAAGGCACAAAACCCGCATTCAGTTTCCAAAAAGGGATCGAGTTATTTTTTCTCTATAAAAAGTCAAAGAAAGGAAAAATAAGAAGTCAAAGGTACACCCACAGTGGGTATACTTTCTGCAGGGAGGCATCTTGATCAACAGATACGTACAGTACAGAGACGTCCAGTCACCTCTCTTAAGTCCTGGGGCAACATCCTCTTAATACTTGCACAATTCATAGAATCTCTAATTTCCTCACCAGCTGCTTCCACGGCCAGCCCGGGGGCCTGGAGGCCACCGAGCCCGAGGTAAACTTGCACATGGGCGAGCGAGCACTCAGCCCCCGGGCACCAGGGCTGAAGGAACAGAATAAAGTGCTCCAGTCCGAGAGACTGGCCCGTATAGGGATCCTGGGAGGGGAGCGGCCCAGAACCAAATACGTCTTTGGTGTGTGTGTCCAGCAGGCCCACGGCTGCAATTCCACCAACCACCTTAACAACCGCGTGGACTTGAGGACCCTGCAGAGGGGTTCAAGACACGTCAAGGACACAAGCTGAGACTCAACACAGCTTTTAAACAATTCAAAACCCCAAGAAGATATCTGGGGAAAAGAAAACTTTTAGAAGGAAGAATATTTGGAGTCAAATATCTCTACCTAAGGAAAAAGTGTATATGCAACATATATATATATATATATATATATATATTTATATAAAATTATGAAGATAACAAAAATGAATCAATTTTTCCAACCGATAACGTGAAAACACTGGTTCTCAATGGGCCAAAAGCAAATACGATAGTTGTTGTTGGCACTGTTGACTCATCTGAAAAATCACGTATCTTTTTTTAAAAAGCTGTTTAATCATCTGAGGTTTCTAAAACTGTAAGAGTGATGGGGTTCACAGAACGATCTCCACCTCCCCTCTTTCAGTGCTCCCTAATCTGTCTTTCTTGGGTCTCCCCCGTAGTTTAACTGCCTTTGAAAAGACTGACCAACTCGTGGCCTTCCATTCTCTGCCATAATCGTGGCAAGCGCGGAGGAAGGCCATCCCCAACAGAAGTGGCTGCATGAAGGGGGCCTGACGACATCCAGCCGTCCCAAGAGAAGTGGAACAAGTGACACAGACATCTGTCAGAAGGCCAAGGGACCATTTCAGACTTGTGTCCAACGGGGTTTTTTATGCAACTGCTGAGAGCAGAATTAAGTCTGTATTTCAGAGAGTGGGAACCGAGTGTTAGCCATCAAAAGCCAGATGAACTCTGAGTTGGACAAAAAAGCCAGGATGCCCAGGAAACAGCTGTCTTAAGTCCCGCCCATAGCCTGTGCCAATTCCCACAAGGGCTCGAGCTTGGATACCTCAGCAGAACTCGGCTGCACGTGGGCATGTTAACCACCTGGGGCCTTAGGCCGAGAGTCCATCCTGTGATATGGGCAGGCCTGCATCCAGAAAAGCCAACAGTGCATACCTTGTGTTATGACCGCCATTGCCTCTTCAGAACACTTCTGAACGACAAGCCCATCAAAACCAAACGAAAACCAACATCGAGCACCTCCCAGTGAGTAAGCTACCAACAGACAAAACAGACCTGTGTCTGATACAGGCAGATACTAACTCATGTTCAGACATAATGTTCAGACCCAATTATACTTTTTACCATGCAAATACACTGGACCAAATGTGTGCATCAGTGTCCGACAGGCTGGAGGAGCATCACCAAAGGACGTAAGGAGAAACACAGAGAGAGCCTGAAATTTTGCCACAGATGCAACTGAATTTAAGGAGGTAAGTAGATATTTACAAAATGGGAGTGGCACGGCAATACAGGCTGACAAGAGACACCTCTGCCCCTTTTACCAGTTCCATTTCATAAGAACTTTTTTGGTATTAATAATAATGACTTAAAAAAAAAAAAAGGTCCAAGAAGCAATGGCAGGGAAGGGAGGGGCCACATCATACCTCTCCTGTTTAAAAATGCTGTATGGTGACCTCTAAAAATAAACTAAGGCAGCTTTATAAATCAGCTGGCTCAGTTTCCCACTGTGGAGTTTACACAATCCTCTGAGAGTAGGCAAAAGGTTCTTAAAATTTTAGTACAAAAATCACTCATGAGTTGGTTAAAAAGTTTCCGTTTCCTTTTTGAAAAACCTGTTCTTATCAAAGAAGGTGGGGGGAAAAAAAAACACACACACACGGCATGTAAACACCAATCTTGCATAAAATCCTGCTCAAAAGGACCATGATTTGTACATTGTTTAAAAAGAGAACCCTCCCTCATTTACATTCACAACAAGCTTCTGTTAGAAATTCGGCCGCGTGGTGATGATGAAAGACAAGGTCAGGTCCACGTGCAGCTCGGACACGCCGGCAGGCTCCCAGCCCGCCCCCTCCAGCGAGGGACCTCGGGCTGCACAGCAAGGGCACCGAGACACCGAGGTGCTGCGCCTGTCGGTCTGAACGAGCAAAATGTCTGCACATCCCGGCTCCGTGAGGAACCCGCTGTCACTGCATCCTCCACACCAGACGGATGATGTGGCGTAACAGCCGTAAGATAACCATTTGCGGGTGACCTTCGGCTGCTTGGTGATTATTCAGAAAGACCTGAAACAACAAAAGGAAAGCTCCTTACTTTCCAGCCCCGACTTATTTCGGGGGCTGGCGGGGGAACCCAGTATTTAAGGGAACAACCAATCCCATCTGAACAGCTATGAAGGTGCCTCTTAAAGGGCCACTTCTTCCCTGAGACGTCACTGCAAAAAGAGCAGGCACACCAAAGGATGGTTTTCTTTAAAGAGACCAAAAGGATGTTTGGAAAGCTCAAAGAGAATCCCTGAATCTGTTCCCCCCCACCCTGTTTTTTTTTTTAAATTGTAAACTCTTGTAAATTCTTCTTTGGCATAAAGGAGGCTTTTCACAAGGTTATTTGTGAGTTGCAATTTCCCCCTGTATTCCCCCATTCAATCTGGGCTGCCACAATCAGACAGACAGAAAGCGTGAGGACAGATTTTTCTTGCATCTGTAGTGGAAATCTTAGCAGACAGTAACTGCCCCAGGTCTGTCAAATAGATGCACTGTTTCCCCTTCTAAAAACCACATATTCTTTCCACAGGTGACGCCATCGCTGGCCGGAGCTGCCTTGATCGGGAAACGTAGCAACCACTGGAAAATGAGTATCCCCACCGGCTCTGCGCAGGTGCTGGAGGAAAGCCACCCCAAGTCCTGGAGTTGGGGGGGGTCCCGTGACGAGAGGCGCAGGTAAAGCAGATGGAAGAGAGGAAAGAAAGAACTTGGTGGATGCGAGGTAACCACCTTACTGCCCAAGTTACCAACATTCAAAATATGGTTCAGACTCCCTCAAGGGTGAGTTTCGGGTGGCTGTCATTTACTTGAGGAATCAGTGATTCGGGGTAATTTGCCCTAAGAAGCTAAATAAAGTGGAGCACCGATGCGCCACCGCGCCTCTGGCTGTCGGTGGGCAGCTCCGGTGGGTAAGCGCCGTTGGTCCAGGGCTGCGGCCACGGTCACCAACACAGGCGGCGTCAACCACTGGCCCCTCCGGTACCCCGGAGTGGCGGGTAAAGAGCGATGAAAAACAGAAAAGCCCTGTTTGCTGGGGACCACATAGGATCATGACAAGCTGAGAAACTGTTCCAAAGGAAACAGCCAGGTTATTTCAAGGTCTCAGAGGTCCCTGGGTCTTCCACCTTTGAGCTCTAATCCATTTCGCGGGTTAAGTGCAGGGTATAAACTCAGAGCAGCCAAAGCTGGCAACAGAGCACATCCGCCTCCATGTCAGGAGCTGTGACCGGTTTCCCTGTTCAGGTCTGAAATCCACACCCCAGGCCAGCTCCCTGCTCTGTCTGGAGCGCTCCACCAACCCCCTTCTCACTCTGGCGGGCTGGGGGGTGCTTTCCAACACACATCCACGGGACCACCTGCCACGGGGCAGGCTGAGGACGGACGTCCCCTTCCCAGACACAATCGCTGTCCACAGACGCCAGCTGCAAGCAGAGCTCCCTCTTCGCCACTGTTTACACAGCCCTCTGGGGCTCGTTGTACGGGATGGAATTGTGATAAGGCCGGAGCACTTCCCTTGCTCCTTCCAGAACCAGGAACCAGACTGGAGGAAATCAGCTTTATGTAAGCGATTCCTGCAGAGGCACTCCGTAACCACAGTCTGCGATTTTTATCTGCTTGACACACGAGATTGCTTTGTTTTGATTTAACTTTCAAAATTACTTTGCTTCTTCTGGGTGAGAATAATTTAGGGGAAGGTTAATTTTAGTTGAGACTAATATTAACAGGTTGAAAGAGGCTTATTCAAAATAAAACCACGACTTACTAAAATGAAGAAAGTGTATGCAGAGCTGAGCTAAACTATCACTTCAAGGTGGGAAATCTCGAGCCAAACAGTTGTCACTGCTGGGCCTCAGTAGGACCGGAGAATGGAGTCAAAAAATGACGCCACGAGGGGACTGGGTCACACAGTAGGAACAGACCCCCAGCTGTTGACACTTAGCCAATTTTATATTCCAGAACTGGCAACGTCTGAGAGGAGAAACCTTCCACGCACCCTTGAGGACAGCAGGTGTAGGATGAGAGAAGTCTTCCCGGGTTTTTTAGACTGTTGCTTTCGTGTCACGTGAAAATAATATGGGAGGGGTATGCAAAGACATGCCAGGGTGGCAGGGGAATTCAGGAAAGATCTGTTAAAAGGAACACCCAATCCCTGACAAATGAGAAGATGCTACAACATCTGGGTTAGCGAGGATACGGGGACACCTGGCACGCGTGACAACACGGCACACGCCGTTAAACCAGTGAATGATTGCTTTTGGACGACATTCCATGGAGGAAGCCATTACCACTGATTCCAAGAGCCCTGGCGGCCCAGAAAGCCCTCGACAGCTGGCAGAGCCCGCCGAAGCTGCTGCTGGCACAGCGTGGATGGCCCACACCTCACGAACAGCTGGAGGATGGGCAGCTGGCGCCAGGGCAGACGCGCCGCCCTCTGACACCTGCAGCCGTACTGATCAGCTTCCTTACAGGAGTCACCGAGCACACGGCCTGGGCCTGACGATGCTAACTTAGGGCAGACGTGGTCGGCCCAGCCAGCATGAGATCTTTGGCTTCTGGCCTCCAGGAATGTGAAGAAATACATTTCTGCTGTTTAAGGCCCCCTGTCCGTGGTCCTGTGCTCTGGCCGTCCTAGCAAACTAATACATCCGCTCATGCTTAATCATCGTTCCTCGTCCTTCACCTTTTAAGTGAAAAACAAAACTTCTTAGCTCAGAGTTGCGTAATGCTGTTTTAGTCTAAATCATAAAAACACTTTAGAAAGATACATTACAATGATTCATCTGGGGAAAGAACTAAAAAACTAAATACGCTCCTAGGTACAAACAATTTATGCCTTACACACACACATGTACAAAGCGCAGGATCCCATCCAACTGGGATTTTCATCTCCGTGGTCTAGATCAAGGAGTGGATTATTTGGGGTAACTGACTTCTGTGGCCATCCTGACAGTCCATGCTCCTCTCTGGCTGAGGCGCTCCGGCATCACAGGCAACGCTTGACTTCGTAGCCTGTCTGCACCCAGTTAAGTCTCGTGGGCGTTCCCGAGTCGCCAGCACTGCATGCAGGAGAGCATGGCGCAGCCCACCGTATAGGGCGCCCACAGTGCCACTATCAATGAGAAGAGCCCGAGAGAAAGCTGCCCTGTCTCGGGAGCCAGAGGCAGGCAAGTCCAAGTTCCCACCTCGCAGACGGAAACACATCCACACATTCCAATGAGACCTGAAGCCTACACCAAAGGAGAGGGAATTACAGGGGGAGAGGCAGGACCCTGCACGCAAGAAGGAGCAGACGGCTTTGGTAAAAATCGCTATTTGATGGTAAAATATAGTATTTGATTTTTCACAATAAGCCAGAATGAAAAGCAGTGTCAAATTCCGGGACTGTTCCATCCAAGAATCGTCCCGTAAAGGTAAGCGATGGCTCCAGGAGCTCTGAGTTTCCCTGGACAGACTTAGGTTTTCTTTGAAGATGTGAAATATGACCTTGGAGACAGTATCAAGAGCATTCAGCAAGGAATCCCAAACAGTTCCCTGCATGTCCACACCAGAGGCCACAGGCTCACCTGGGTGGCAGACGGGGTGGGCTGTACCGAGGGTCTGCCCTGGAGTGGGGAGCAGGGTCCAGGCTGACTTGTCATGACCGGGGAGCAGCCCATATGTCGAGGAGCTGGGCCTCCGCGTGAGGTGGGACAGGAGAGGAGGCTCAGGGACTGGACACAGCACCGGGACCGCCTCAGGTTGCACTTGAGACCACCAATCAAGTATCGGGGAACTTAATTACATTTTAATGCCAAAACAACAATCACAGCCAAACCAGGGAAGCAGGTGTGCCGCATGCAACAGAGGCCTGGAGCCCAGGCTGCCCCGGGCAACTGGCCAGGTTGACCACAACATACCTGCAGTGGGCCGCTCTGATCCCGCTTCACTCTCCTGCAGATGGAGAGGAGCCCAGCCTCTGGAAAGTACACAAGACACAGCAGGCCTTCGGACTTTGTGAGCCTGAGCTTGAGGATGAGAAGGGTCGCCCACCGTCACCGATAAATGGAACAACCTGGCACACGCCTTTTCCGTCTTCACGACCCCCCCGAGCCAGCGTGGCTCTCCTGCCCTTTCACAGACGGAGCTTGCGGATCAGGAACCACCAAGTAACCCCGACAGTTCAGCTCAACTCCAGCTCAGTGCAGAACACACACTCACCAATCCGGGCTCCAAAGGCAGGGTCAAACCTCGCTGGGCCAAGTGACTCAGTACGTACAACCCACAGGTACACTCAGCATTACTCAAGGGGGCTTTTACCGACTCAAAACCACAGAGATGCGCACAGTGCAATAAAAACAAGGGTTGAGGAAGATCACAAATATTAAGAAAGAGAGACCCTGGGAACTAGGGCTGAGATTTGCTGCAACAGAACCACAGTTTAGGGAAGAGTTTCCTGGCAGTCAAGGTAACAAGGACATTATTTTTCACCGTCTTATCAAAAAGAGCTCAATACCAAACTCTAGGAGACAAACCAGAAGGCAAGGTATACCCGCAGAACTCTGAGACTCTGAGCAATTTTTTAAGACTTTTTCAAAAACTTGTTTCTTATAGAATTTCAACACTGAATGCCTAAGACATCCTAAACTTTTTTTTTTTTTTTTAAGGTAGATACATTTTTAAGTGGGAAGACGTTATAGGAGACTGAACTCTGGACTGTGACACCAGGAAGGACTCTGACAAAGAGAGAACCTCTTTGTCAGAGGATGGAGTGTCTGTCTGTCTGGATGGTGTCTGCTCCCCCAGGGGCGGTCACGGCATCTTCCAGAACTGTGCTGAGAGCTGCCATAATCACAGGTGACAGAGTGAGCCAAGGAACAGAGTGGCCCCGGTGATGGATGGATGACCACCTCTACCCATTTCATAACCCATCGATCTAAACGTTATTTTAAGTGACAAGCGCGTGACACAGAGGTCAGAGAGGAATAGGGCCCATGTGTGACGACTCGATGTGGAGACTTGCTAAGAAGACCTGGTCTCTCTCC